GTATTTGGAGTAGCTCTCAATTTTCTATTTAATAATATTGTAACATACTTTTAAAACACACAAATTTCAAATTCGATCTTGTATATTACGTTATTACTTGCTTCATATTGAATATGTACGTGTAGTCACTTAAAAAACTTGATACTATTATATGTTCGGATTGTCATACCTTTATAAGATATAGTCATTAAGATTTAATTATTACATGGAGTAGTATGGTTTGCAATTTATTTAAAATCGGCCTTTGAGGCTTCAAATTGCATTTTTGAAAGAAATAAATAAATAAAATAAAAAAGATCAAATATAGCTTCACCCAATTCAAATTGTACCAAATTCAGTACACAGTACTACGAATTTTCAAAACTTCCTACTTAACCCAAAGTTTCAGGATCCCAACTCTATTGGTTCACCCACAATTCAAATTGTACCAAATTAATACACGGTAGTACGAATTTCCAAAACTTCCTACTAAACCCAAACCAACACCCCCTTAGTGATCCTAAATCCAAGTTTCAGGATTCCACCTCTATTGGTTCACCCACAATTCAAATTGTACCAAATGTGGTACACATTAGTACAAATTTGTAAAACTTCCTACATGCCCCAATTCTACAACTCCATAGTGATCCTAAATCAAAATTTCAGGATTCCAACTCTATCGCCTCACCCACAATTTAAATTGTACCAAATTTAGTATCATTTAGTACTCATAAATACTAAATACTTTCTTAAACTGAATCCTAACCCCAAACCCACACTGCTAGAGTGATCCTGACTCCAAAATTCATTGTTCCCGCTCTATCGGTTCACCCAAATCCAAACTGTACCGATTATAGTACGATTTAGTACATTTCGTACAAATATGTAAAAAATTTCCAAATCTACGTTCACATCCCAATCCTACACTCCGTCGGTAATGTTAATTTCAAATTCCAGGATTCCAGCTCGATTTATATCTCAAAATTAATTTGTACCAAATATAGTACCATATAATACTTTTCGTACACATTAGTACATGCTTTCAAAACCATCTCCATTAATAGACCCTACATCTCAACCCTTATTCGCATTCCAAATTTCAAGTTTTCAGCTCTATCCATTCACAAGCTACGAAATTGTACCAAATTTAGTACATTTTAGTACTTTTCGCATACTTATAGTTCAAATGTCCAATAAACCCTTTGCTATATATATTCTACACTCCATCAGTGACCCTCATTTAAAATTTAAAAGTTCTAGCTGTACCGGTTCGCCAATTACAAATGGTATCCCATTTAGTACTTTTCGTACCGTTCTAGTACGAATTTCCCAAAACCCAACCTTATCTTTCACCTTTGGACCAAGAGTGACTCTCACCCAAAATTTCAGTCAGTCAATCACTTTACTCTTTTATTACTATAGATAAGTGCATGATGCGAAATAGAAGGACAGTGAACATGTCTGAATAGCACGTCGAACCAACATCACTAAGCTAGATGAAATCTATCAGGCTGTTACAACTATACGTCGGTCTTATGTTATGCAAAATGGATAAACACATTGATTTTAATAATATTGCACAAGTGGGATCAAATAGGTCACAATTAAAATCTCCACAAAGTATCATATTCGAATATTTCATAAATAAATTGTGATGTTGTTGTTCAAATGTTTAAATGTCTCCTACTGCCAAAATAAAGTTCTAAAAAAATGAACTCACATTTTACCATTATTGACGTTTTAAACACAACTTTTTTTTGAACTTTTTTAGATATATAAATAGTTAAACCTCTCGGACATCGTCGGTCATTTCTATACATTTTGTAACCGAGCACCTCAACTGCACAATTAGATACCACAAGCTTGTGCCATGTCTCAGAAATGCCAATCGCATCTAATTGTGATCCTGATAAAATTGATTTGAAATTGTTAAATTTTAATGATAAATATTTATATTATTTATTTTTTACACTTATATAATAAATTTTAAATTATTATTTTATTTTTAAGTAGTTTAATAAGAGCAACATTTTAGAATCGCCGTTCCAATATGTTACAGAATTCCAATTGGATTGGTGCGTTTCAATTTATGACTTTTATTTCAAGGAATAAAAACACGATTTGGTAATTTTTTAAAGTTTTTATTTAGTATTTAATTTTTGTATTTTTGTTGACTAAATAGTATTATGCGTTTATTCATAGTTTTCTTTAAATCAAAAACACATTTTTTGTTGTTATAATAATATTTTATGTATAAGTTGTTTATTCAGCGTATTCCGTTTGCTGTTAATGTTTCATTTCATTTTCTTTTATTTTGTTTTGTGGTTTTTTAATGTAACATCATTGCCTTTTGCTTAGAAATATATTACTTTTTTCTTTATACATGTATACACGATATCATATATTTTCATTCATTGTCCTTAACATAAAATTTGTATTTGCTTCTTTTAAACTTTGTTTATGTGTAGTTACAAGTGTAAATACACATTTGTGTGTGTATATATATTTATTCATATAAGAATTTGTATAATCTTAATTTTTAAAAAAAATAATAAAGCTGTATTCAACATAATTAAGCATACCGAATAATTAAAAACAAATTATATTTGTAAAACAAAAACTAATAAAAATGTGTATATATTTGTATGTATATTTATTTATCTTATTGACAGGATAAACAAACAAACAAAAAAAATATATATATATATATTGTACAATAAAAAGGTAGTCGTTATTACTAAATGATATTTAATTGTAAAAAAATAATAATGTGTAGTTGTAATTGTGGTTGTTAATTTTCATTTGTTTTGTAAGTATGTGTTAATAAAGAAACATAAAATATATCAATATGCATACAATTTATATATCAAATCAATGGCCTTATTGTTGTATGCTGCAGGAATTTAATGGGTTTATTCTATTGAAAATCCTCTATAAAAATAAATAAAAACACTTGTTTGAGCAAGAATAAATTTAATTAAATTTAAAAGTTTGATTCCGGAAAGCTTCAAAAAAGCTACCCAAAACTGACATTTAGTCTTGTTAAATTGAAAGCAATTTGCAACTTAAGTACCATAAGTAAGATAGATTTCCATGTTGTGATTTTTCTTTTTTTTTTTTTAATTTTCAGTACGTGTACCAACGATTCCAAAAGAGAATTTTGTTGGGCTATATAAAAATTATAAAATGTACAGTAATACAACAATTAAGAAAACTTAAGTATGTTAGATTTCTAAAACCAAAGTAAAAAATCCCAATGACATGTAAAGTGAATATGCAACTACTAAAGTCTAGTTATAATTTTTTAAAAGTCATTAACATACCACGATCAATTTTAAGTAGTTAAAGGATAGATAACTAATCATCAAGCTATTATAATGAGTGATATCATACCCACTTGAATTCGATATACCCAATAATAAGTTTTGTACAATTATTTATGAAATAATATGGCCAAATTGTTTTAATTTAATAAAAAAAACAATGCAGTTAAAATTTGGTTGTTCATCTCATGATAAATGAATGAAGGATATATTAGGTCTATTACTACTCAAAGTAAGTAAACTAACTCAAGTTAGTAAAGTTAATTTTTAAGTGAATCTTGCCAAATCTTTCTACACCTTTTTCAAATGTTATTCAAAACATTTCAATTGCAATTCGAGAATTTTATGAATTTCAAACGCAAATACTTGGAAATTCAAATGGAAGTTTATGAATTTCAAATGGAATTCTATGAATTTCGAAAGGTATTCTATGAATTACAAATGAAATTCTCGAATTACAACTGATATGTTGTGAATTGCAAATGGAATTCTCGAATAGCAAATTATATGTTGTGAATTACAAATCGAATTCTCGAATTACATTTGATATGTTTTGAATAACATGTGAAAAAGGTGTTGATCAACGCCAAATAAAATATATGGCATTCACATCTTAACAGGTTAAAAGATTTTTTTCGGTCAAAACAAAAAGTGATATATATAATATACAAATTGATAACGTGTGAATGTTTGTGAGTTTAATGTGTATGTGTGTACTAACGATTTTATCTTGGTTTCTTCATTGTGTATTCCATTGTTGGTTATCTATTTTACTAATTTTACGGGTTTTGCAGGATGGTAAATATCAATTTTGATATTTACTTAGCTACTAATTGCTGTGACTTGTAAGTAAATTTACATTTATTCTGTATGTATGTAGTAGGTACAATATATTTTGTAATTTTTTCTTTGGATTGTTATATATATATTACGTTTGTAAGTTTCCTTATGTTATGTTGCACAAAGAACGGTCGCCGCTGCACAAGTTGACGCGACGACGACGATGACAACAACAATTATCCGAACAATTGTAGCATTTTCCACTAAAATGAAAACAAAAATTTCAATAAACACAAATAAGGGAACAGATTATATAAAATTATAAGAATAACAATAATTATTTAATTAATAAACAATAATTAATATTTATGCAAATACATTTACTCTATTAATGATTGTTTTCTTTGATTTTCATTGTTTTATGTGTATATGTTTTGTTTGTGGTTTTGTTTAGTTTGACTAACTATAATAAACTGTATTAGTATTAGTAAGCGACGCAACTCTCTTAGCGTTGCGACATTATCACATACATTGAGATCAATGGGGATGGGGGCTGGATGGAAGTGCTACTATTGCAGTGGTAATATTTTGAGGAGTTGTTGTCATCTGATAGGATGGACTTTTGTTTCACTGTTGTTTTGTGCAACGGCGATCTCTTCGTATCAGTTTGGTAAACTCGTTCACATTAATCATCGTTAAATAAAGAACGACCGACCAATTTCCCTTACAGTTGGTGGTTGTTTCATTATAAAATATTATAAAAAAAATCATAATCGCGGTAATATTTATTTCTGTTGCCTTACGCACGATTGTAACACTATAATTTTGGGCAATATATTAGCTACATGTAGAGCTTTGTAGAGAGGGAAAAGACACACACATATATTGCTGCATATATGCATACAATATATGTATGTTTCAATTGTCTGGTTCGTCCTGCAATGGTCTCTGTATCCACTTGGCCAAGTGTGCAGATACGGCACGTCTTATGCCACTGGCTGTAATACACAGAAATTATAAAAAGAGTCTCATATATTACAGAGTAATTTAAAATGTGGGTCATTAATCATCGTAATCGTATAATATTAGATTGATAATAATAAAATAAAAAAAAAAACGCTTAAACTATATATCATGTTTGCTACATTATAGCGATTATATTAATAGTTTGTAATTGTTTATGTAGGCGCTTACACACTGATCAGTGTGTAACAAAGTTCGAACTAAATAGAAACAATCATTTTACAAAATGTAAAACCAGGAGAAAATAAACACTTAATACAATGATGAAGAAAAAAAAATAATTAAAGCATCTCTCTTGTTTGTGTGAGTGTTTTAGATTGAAAATGAAAAATATACATTTTGGCTGGCTGTAAACATAAAAATTCCAGAATATATTAAAGTTGAAGTGGTATTGACTTTTAACAACTACTGCGGAACTTGATGCACGCGGTGATGATTCAATATTGTGCGAATAATTAGATTCATGTAATATTTTATTCATTTCTTGCTTTCGCTTCCTGTTTGGGTGTCCTTGGAAACGAAATTTTCGCTATCATATTTACATTCGGGCGGTGGAGGTGGTGTTACTGACGCAGTTGGTGTCGTTAGGCTGTCTTGCATTTTTTGCATTGCATGCAATGTCTCTTCGTTAATTGTGTGCTCGGGAGAAATATTTTCTTTTATTTTTTGTTTTACTTCGGTGGGTAGCGAGTCGACATTGCATTCGATCGCGTAACATGATGGTGCGATGGAACAGGAACTTGTGACGCCACATGCGGCAGCACCGCTATTACTCTGCAACGTGCTGCCCATTTCTGGATCTCCACTATTGGGATTGTTAACAGTAGACGATGTTATTGTCGTAGTCGATGCTGTGGTGACTGACTCGTTGCCAAATGATAAATTTTGACGAAACACTTGTTTACTGAAGTCGCGAAATTGTTTTGAGGCTGCATCCAAGAACGATCTTGATTGTTCTGTAACGACGGCCGCAGCTGTGGTCGCCACAATATTTGCCAAGTCTGCATTACTGCTGTTGGCAGCAATTAACATATCTGTACCCAGTTTGGACCATGATGGTGGTGACTGTTTTCTTAAAGGCATAAGCGTTTTTGATGTTGCCGATTGATGTTGTTCCAAAGTGCATTGTTCCAATGTCGCTAAAATGTTACGAAATAAAAAAAAAACAAATTTGGAGTGTGGTGAAAAAAAATTGAATTTGTTACGATTTTGATGGCAGTAAACAGTTTTACAAAATTAAAATATATATGTATGTATACAGTGCAATTCTTCTATAACTAGTTAACGATACAACAGCTTCAACTAAAACATTGATTTTCAAATGGAATAGAATATTACATATTGATTTCATCGCCTTTGTCGTTAAAGGAAAAATGTTGGATAATGGCACTACTGAAAGCCTATAACAAAAAAAAATCAAACAATTCTATAAGTAAATCTAATATATATAGTGAAACAAATATATATTTTGGTTCATGTAAAAATGCATACAATTACTTATTTATGTCATATGAAAGAAAATAAATTGATTTTTTTATGTAACACATTCGATTCTATACCCAGTGTAATTTCCTATTCGAATCAATGTTATATAGAAAATGCAATAATAACCAAAAAAAAATCATATTAAGAAAGTGTTTTCTCATGCTACCGCAAACTATTACTAAACCTCCACCATGTTTATTTGTTGTTTTGGCATTTTTTATATTAAGTGCTCCACACCATATAACGTCGGTCGGAGCCATACATTTGAGACACTTTATTGAGCCGATATGTGAGGATTTTCGCCCTTTTTTCTTCTTAAGAATTGGAATTATTATTATAAGGACGTGCTGTCCTTGCGCTATTTTCGACGAATTTGGTCTTTTTTTGACGACAGAGACCGAACATTTTGCAAATGTATAAAATTTAAAATTTATAAAAATGCTACTCTTTAATCTTTTTCATTTTTGAGGGAATACAATTAAACAAACTAAAAAAGATAAATAAAGAACTATGAAGACTGATATTATTTTCGGCCAAATCAAATAATAGGTATGTTTGAATAATTTGTAAAGGGCCTAACACACAATATATCATACTGTCATGACGATGAACCCCTTGGCGAATGTGTGAGATTGACTAGTGAGTGGGAAACTTTTCAATCATTACTCCAAAATATAATGATTTTCCTCCCAAAAAATCGCATTCAGTTTTTTCACCCGTAGGATCTCACAGATCAAAAGATCTTTGTTACCTATCGTTTATAGTGAAATGTAGGCAATACGTCATAAACTAAATGTGGTTTCTATTATATTGACCATGTAAAAATAGCGAGTTTATCATTAAATCATTAAAAGTGCTATAGAAAATAATTAGGAAATAGAAATAGGCAAAATATATACGAGGACACAATTTAAAAAGTATATAGCGTAAAAATAAAATTTTACAAAATGGCGATTTGTTAAGCCTTCGCTTAAATAATCAATTTAGTTGAAATTGTTCGTATACGAATAACCTATTAAGTATTAGCGGGCCTAGACAAAATATAAACTTTTTGAAGCTGTTTTTTAACATAGCTGAAGCCGAGGTTCGCCCCTTTATAACTCGGGAATTACTTAAGTACTTATTATTACTTAAGAAGTGAATAGCATTGGGTTAATTGATCAGTCCTTGCAAACAGGAATTTCTAAAAATCGATTATAAGATTATAGTAGTAGCGAATCCGAGTAATTTGATATATATTTTGTGTATGTAGCATGCACAGCTTCAGAGTTATACTCATCCAAAGGTGAAAATTTTGTGCGATCAAATTTCTAAAAAAAACTATTTTTCAGGCCAAATGTTTAGATCTGTCAATTGAATGATATGGGTACCCGCGATCAGTAAGGTTTCTTACGTTTCGGATGAAATAAAATCTTCTTCGAGAAAATCCATCTACTAGAACGGCGGGGATTGGCCTTCCAAATACACGAAATTTGGCGAAAAAAGTTTTTGGAAATATCGCGGATTTAATTGCATTTTCTGTGGATAATTTCCGTTTCAATAAATAACCTGATACGAAATTTAAACTTTTGCGGAAACAGAACTAAAAACTTCAGCCGAAAGAGAGATGTACCCAATTTATCTCAAAAATAAAGTGAGCTGGGTCCATCCATGAGCTGGGTCATCATAATGGACCGCATTGAAATATATATAGATAGATGTATTTTTTTTAGGGTACACACCGAAATCGGATGCACGTTAATGGCATATGGATCTTTCGGAAATTATTCGCGTTTTACGAGTTTTTGGGTACTTCAATGCACCGTGTAGTACATCTAAGCTGTCAAATGAAATTTCACAAAACATTGGAAGATAGCCTTTAGTATGTCATGCAAATCGCATGAGCATCAAATGATTTTGAGGATTACGCGATTTAGATGAAATTTAAAATGTATACAGTCGAATTCGGTTAAGCGAAAACACCTAATTTCATAATTTTTTTTCTCTTAAGCAGGATTTTCAATTAAAAGAACTTCGGATAAGCGAAACTCTTTGCCCTTAAAGGAAGTTTTCAAACAATATCTGAAAAATCGTGAAATTTATAAATCATTTTGTAAAATGAATTGAGTAAGAACTTCTTTTTTTCGTAAACATTTGATTGGAAGGTTAGAAAATGTGCAACCAAAGTTTAGGATTGCACATACAAATTTTAATGAAGTTCGTTGCCATTACAAAAATGATATTTTTATTATTTTTTCTCTTAAACGGTGCTCGTTTCATATATATTTGTGTTTTTGCAACAAAAAAGTCTTTCTCTTATACAGATTTTCAATTAACCCGTTTTTCTTTTAAGCAAAGTAAAATGATTGAAAATTCACCCGAAATATTAGTTTAAAATTTTTAGTTTCAATAAACCGATTTTTTTGATAAACCGGCATTCGGTTATCCGAATTCGACTGTATTTCATAATATAGTTTTATTTTAAGATGTATTCCTATTTATAGAATCCCAAGATTTATCGGAAGAGTCTTGATATAATCCGCAAGTTGTATACTTATACACAAGAAGTGATTATTTTTATATATGTCAATTTGTCGGCGAAATTCGGGTAAAAAAGAAGAATAACCCCAACACTTTTTTGAGAAATTTCTTGTATAAAATTTTAAAAAGTAAATATGATGACATTATTTCTTCGAACCAAAAACAAAAAATTTTCCTAAACATCTTTGATATAGCAAGAAAACAAAAATGCATATTTTTTATGAATAAAATATTAGGTATGTTTATTTAACCCTTTGAGCCCCGTATTTGTTTCCGTAATCATAGAGCAATTTTCTGTTCACAGATTTAATGCAACTATCCTAGATAGGATATGGACAAAATTTGACATTGCAGTACATTCTTTCTGAAAAATAAAAGCCTAATATCAAGAAAACCAAATGCAAAATCGACGAAAAATCATTTTAAATTATTCTCTATACATATCGTCAGCTAAAATGCAAAAAGGCGAAACTAACAAAAAATTGAAAATTGACTTTTTGAATGTCAATAAACTACATGTGTTGACAAAGTTTTACACGTCTGCGGTCAAAAAATTAGGTTCTACAAGTGGGTTTATTTGATAAATGCGAAAAGGCGTAACTAACAAAAAATTCAAATAATTACTTAATTGTTATGACTGCCATTAAACTAAATAACTAAATTTGTTAAAAAATTATAGTCTATTATTCGTCATATGCAATATCACCCTGCCGGGCACACTTTTTCATTTCACATGACATGTTTATAGTTTTCATTCAAAACAGTTTTTTGCTTCTCCTACACAATTATGCTTTTGTTAGTTACGCCTTTTTGCATTTTAGCTAACGATATTCTGTTTTAAAAGAATCAAAAAAATTTCTGACGGCAGAATTCGTATATTTCGAATACGAAGTGATTTAAATAATTTGGGCTGTATACACAAATTAGTACTGTACAAATTTTTACCCTTTTTCTCTATATTAAAAAGCTCATAACTTTACCAAAAATATGAATTTTTTAGATTTTTATTGTGATATGTATCGTCCATAATCAGGTTTTGACAATCCGATCCAAAGAATATATATCTACTAGCTGTATGTTAAATATAAGCTCTAAAACATGTTGTTGCCTGTGGGAGAGTATGCGTAAAATAAATAATGATTTATATGGGAACCAAAAAATGTACTGACGTTTACAAAAATAAAAAAAAAAACAGTTAAGAAAGTTCAAAAGTCGAAGAAACTACGGTAAAGTTCGGCAAATTAGTTCGTTATATCCAAGGTAAGGAATAACCTAGGATAAACAGAAAAAATTATATTCAGTTTCGAAATTTAGAGTTTTTGTGTTGTTTTTGACAATACTTAAGCTGGTTCTCTTTTTCTTTGATAAACCTGACATTTTGTGCAAAGGCTGCCAGTGGTTGGATACAAAATTAACTTTTCTGTGGATTGTCATCGATAAGTATTATGTATATTTGTAAAAAGTTCGTTATAACCGAATCCAAAATAATGAAAACTGAAAGTTGGGACCGAATAAATAGTTTGTTATAAAGAAAGTTCGCTATATCCGTAGTTCCCTATAAGAGTAAAGATTTGTATGAAAAATCTGTCCTAAAACTTCGGGACCAGAAAATGTGTTTGCTATATGGAAAGTTGGTTATAACCAGTGTTCGTTATAAGCGTACTCAACTGTATATATGGGAGTTGTATCTAAATCTGAACCGACTGTCACCAATTCCAATAGGATTCGTACTTAAGCCAAATAAATAAGCTGTGCCAAATTTCACTGCTTACAATTTTACATGAACGGACCGACGTATAAATCGACCATATCTTTAATAGGAACCCATGGTTCCTATCTCGTTTCTTTTTGCATGTTACAAACATATGCCCAAAGACATAATACCCTGTATGACATCAGTTCCGTTCCAGAACCTAAAAGAATCTACTCATTTTACAAGTTTTGCAACTTTTTACTCGAAACCTGTTCCTGAACACACAAAACTGATAAAACATTTAATCAAATTTAAGAGTGCACAAAACAAAATGGCGTTCTCTTTGTAAACTTTTTACTCGAGAAATTTGGCCGAGTAAAAATGGTAAACAGGAATGCCAACATCTGATTGGCTGTTATGTTGATTTTGAAGTATTGTCATGTAATATTGACATATTTACTAGATTTGCGTTCCCGAAATTTTCAAATTATTTTGTACTCTGAGAGTGATTTTGAAATGTTTTCCTTTTACTAGTTTTACTATTAAAAATTACTGGAACAGACCAATCATTGTTTACATTTAACACATTTATATAAGGGGCATATATCCATACCTTGACTATACTGTGGCGGTACCATTGAAGAAGTCACTGGTGTACTCGTGACGCCTTTCGATTCTGGTGAAGAGCTACGCTGAAATGGATTATGGAATAGTGTCAATAGTTTATCAACAGCTGTGGGATTTGCAATCCATGAAACTTTGCGCACACGCTGTTGGTGTGCTGTCTGTGGAACCGCCATGTCTTCTGCTGAAGAACTGTTCGTATTATCTCTAGCAACGGCAACAGCTGCTGTTACAAGCGCTTCATTGACGGTATTCTTAGTGAGCGTTATATCATTGTCACCAAACACTGCGATTGGACACTGTCCAGAAATAGTCAAATCTTGAGGGTCCACGTTCGGATATACGTGCTCGGCCGAGTGCACCGACGACGAGGAATCTGAACTGTCTATATTACTGGCGGGTGATGTAGATGACGATGATGAAGAAGATGACGAAGTTACCGATGATGATGATAACGACGAGGAGGAGTCGGAAGTTGTTGACGAAGATGATAACGTTGAAAGTGTTGATAAAATAGATGGAGATTGCTGAATTACTGCACTCTGACTACATTCAGGATTCGCTGAATTCATTGCTAGTGATTTTGTTGCATTTGTACTTTGTTCACTTTGTTGTTGTGGTGCTTGAGAAAGCCCTCTGACTTTCATAATCGACGTTGCGCAAGAATCGGTGGTTGTATTGCTTTCTTGTTGCTGTTGGTTCGTTTGAAACGACAAAGGAGTAGGAGAGACTTCATGGCAAGTAATGGAGTGGGACTGTGTGGAATTTCTAGCATGCAGTTGCTGCAATTTGTTATCGTCCATGTCTGCTTTCACAGTCGTGGTGGTGGTAGCCTCTTGCGCATGCTTTACACTATCATTTAAATTCTTGGACATAGGTGTTGGTGGGGGATTAATGGGAGGTGTTATCGGAGGTATTGCCCGACTAGACAGTGGCACGTTGGGGTCCTCGTAAACCTTGCGTACTAGAAACCTGGAACGGGGTGAAACCGACAATCGTTTGATGGACTGTGTCGACGATGAAATCGTCGCCATAGACGGCAAGGAACAAGATGTTGGCAGCGATGTTGATGTCAAATTCGGATAAGTGGCATCTTTAGATCCTGCATCCGAAGATACTGACTGTATAAATACACTACTGCTGGACATGGCTTTTGTAGCTGCGAGTCCACCCGTGACTTGGTTTTGTATGCTTGGTGAAGTCAAAGGGCTGACCTCGGCCACACGGAATACCTGAAATCTGCTGGAACGGTTGGGTGACGAAGATGGCGATATTGTTGTTGGGCTGGGAACAGGTGAGCGTAAACGTGTGCCTGGTTTACGTTTAACCTCCAACTTATTGTTTGCCGTTGCCGAACACGTTACGACAACTGGATTACTGGTGTCGACCACAGGTCTGCTATGACAAGTCAATGATATCTTTCTAGAGCCCAAGTAGTAACCACCCTTGCGCCTACTCATGGGATTAATTGAGGGTTTCTCCTGTTGTTGAGTTTTTTCGTTGCGGGCGCACATAGAGCGGACGTTTTCTAATACCCGGGCATAGTCCAAATGTGCTTCACTGCCCACAGACAAACGCTTTGGCTCATCGTCTATATCGATTTGAGTGACGGTTGTATTTGATTTCAAAACTTCTGCTATTTTTGACAAACTGTCAACTTCCACCTTGTTACCACGTATGTCAATGCGCTGCAACGTGCTGTTGCCGCCGAATGTCATTATGGATGTCAGTGTTTCGATGCCGTTGGCGCTAAGCTCAGCACTCTGAAGGCCCAAAGTGGTTAATGTTGTGTTTTTAGTTAGACTGTCCTTTATTGTGGAAACGAACTCATTCGTTAGACAATTTTTTCCTATGTTAAGCAATTCTAGTGACACCGTCTCTGCCAGCAGATCAGAAATGGAAGAACCTGCCTCCTTCGTAAGATTGTTGTTCCACAAGGCAAGAGCCTTGAGTCCACCTGGCGCCCTAGTGCTCGTCTCTCCGGTTGATTCTAGTTGCCGCTGTTGCCTCGTAAGAGTGTCATTCTTGGTGAGTTTTTCATTAAGTTGAACCGAAGATGAGAAGTTCAGATCACCACTACCAATACTTCCATCTAAAGAATTGTCACTGCACAAGCTGTCAGTGCTCTGGGAGCGATTCCGTGTGGATTGTGTCAAGAAGGCGCATGTTGATTCAGTGCGCCTTAAGCCGCTACTAACTCCTCCGGGAGATGTTGACGGTGGTGGAGGAGTTTGACTTGGACTTGTACTAATTAAGCTAGTCGCTTTGCTTTTCTGTGATATACTGTCTTGGGCAATTGTCACCTTTGGTATTTTGTCCCGAAACTCATGTACTATTGGCGATGCCGTGGGCTCACCCAAAGCACCAAATTCCACTTGTATCGTAGGTGGTAGAACAGTTTCGGAAACGGGCAGGGAGGTAGAAAGACAGGTGTCCGACTTGACTGCTTCAGCTACTGGACGCTCCCTCTCCGAAACGGGCGTTGAGATCTGACTAAACTGCGTTTTTTGTGGAGTTGGCGTAGAAGATGGCGTCACACTGGCTGCGGCTGCAATTAAACATTCATTAGACTCTGAAGCTATAGTTGCTGTCTCTATGGAAAATTCTTTGGCTAGATCATCCAGACGGGTACTTTCTAGGGATGCTGACAGGCGGGTAAACTCTTCAGGCAGATGACGACTTATATCACCTTCCGAGGCACTTTCGAACGCTGAATCTGTACTGTGAGTGTCGTCGAAGTCTTCTCCAAACTTGGTGTTCTTATTTACATCTAACGCTTTGGTAGCAGCATGATGTTGCATTGAATTGGCAGGTTCAGAATTTCCCTGCGCTTCTCCACTTAAAATGCACACAACACTGCCGGCGTCACTTTGCCTGCAGTTCCTTTCTTCCGCCTTCACTTCGTAAATATCGACATTTGCTGTTACCGAAGTCGGTGATGATATCTTCTCCAGCGAACTGCCCGAGAAGATTGTGGACGATGTATTTTGTACAGGTACCGAAGTCACATTTAAATTGTTGTTATCGCTGCTGATGTCATTGTTGTTATTAATGCTTACATAATTATTTACAAGGGGGGACTGAGTTGATGTTTGTGCATCTAACTTGACATTGCAAATGGGAATGACAGATGGTTCAATTAGGCCCGAACTCGAAACATTCGTCGAAGGTGATGTAATGAGACCTCTTCTGTCAGCTTCTGCATCTTTCGGTGATGATTCTATGGACACTTTATTCGCTGCAGGATTTGAGAGAAGACTTGAAATCTCCGTAGTTCCCTCGCTTATTTCCGAATCCGTGTCGTTTGGACACTTAACAAATGTGTTTGATGTTGTTATAGTCGTTTTTGCAGATACTGTAGCTGCAATGTCAAACACATCATCACTCATAAGACTAGCATCTTCGGAACAGCATGCAGCCAGTGTGTCGGTGGAAATGTTGGAAACCCCATCTTCACTACTACTTTCACTATTCATTGAAAGTAGTTTGTCAAGCATGGATTGGCCGCCAACTGACGCCTGCGAATTGCCTTTGAGTGTACTTGTCCGCACAGTATCATCTGTATCCTCGTCCGGATCAATTTCTTCAATCGTTGAACCCACCGTTGATATCAAAGGCGGCTTAAATGATGACACTGGTCTAGGTTCGATTTCATGTTTTACCTCAATGTCACTTTGTTCACAACTACCGATAACACTATGTTGTTCATCAATTTTAGTTAGTTGATTTTTAAACTTCGCCTCAGTGTCAACGTCGCATTCAGTCTTCAATATAGGCTGATTCTCAATTTTGGTGTCCCAATCGCCCATTTCCTTTCCATCGCACAGATCAGCCGGTGCAGATGTATCAAACGGTGACATACTTTCGTCGTCGTCAATGGCAGCGGCCCGCTGAAATGTCGTTCGTCTTTCCAATTCTTTCGACTGCATAATCAACGACAGAACTATGTGGCGCAAACCGTCGTCCCCAATATTGTTGTTGCTTATATCAATTAATTCCAAGTAATGATTAACCTTCAACATCTCTGCTATGGTATCGGCATCATTACAATCCAAGTCATTGTAGGCTATCCACAGCTCCTTTAAAGTTCTATTATGCCAAAGTTTGAAACCTACAAAAGATAGATATAAAAATAGTCTCATCAAACCTCCCCATTTCATATATTTTGTTTAATTCAATCTTACACAAACTGCTTAACGGCGCTCCTTTTAGACCACAGTGTTCCAATTTCAATGTATGCAAATTTGATGTGTTGAGCGCATTGCCCAAGTGGTCAGCACTGATTTTTGTAATGGGATTACCCTCAGCATTCAGCACCTGCAGTTCCTGACTGTGACTAATCATGTATGTGCACGACTGCCAACCTCTATGTGTCATTCCGGCGGCATTCGATGATATATCTAGTTCATTAGTAGCCTCATAGTATTCAATAATTTCAAAGAGTGCACTGGCTGCCGTTTCATTTAGCTTACAATCGGAAACATCTATGGATTTGTATTGGACCTAAAATAAAATTGAATATATTACAGGGGTTACTTCAAAAAAGTGAATGCAAACAATAATCGATTAATCGTTTAGTCGATATTTTATTCATTTTTATAGAACGAAAGAGATTAACAGACGACGACACATATCAAAAGAAAAATCTAAAAAAAAATAAATTGTTGGGGAAGTTATGGGCTTTTCAATATATAGATGATGGAAAAAATGTGTACAGTACCAATTTTTTTGTATACCGCCTAAATTATCAAAAACGCGTCGTAGTCGAATTAAACGAATTGAACCCTCAGATTTATTTTTGATTCTTCCAAAAAAGGATCAGATGCAACAAAAGTTCTTGTAAAAAAATCATAAATAATAATTTAAAGTGATTTTATAGTCGATTTACATATATTTTTCTTGATGTTGGACTTTTCAGTTTTCAGAAAAAATGTACTGTAGCTCCCAAACTAATGAATATAATGGATTTAAATTTTGTTTATATCCTACATTGATAGTTGCATTAAATCTGTGAACAGAAAATGCGTTGATGAAATATATGTTGCCTTTAAAATAATAAAAATTCAACTAACAAAACCTTTGACACTTAAATATGAAATTTTTCAAAAAATTAAGTTAATCGATTTATACTCTGTATGAGCATATGTAATTTACAAACTTGGGGCGTAATATCACTATTCCTTAAGTTTTTAGGTAATTAAAGCAACATTTCTAATTAGGTCACAGGTGTTTGCTACTTACCCTTTTGAGAACTTCTTCCAATGCTTCGCAATCACTTGGCGCCAATTGTGTTGACTTGAGAGATAGTAATGGTTGTCTCAACTGTTTCGTCAGATCCACCGCCTTCAAATGATCCAATATACATGGTAATGGCTTTGTATTGTGCTTGTGGCATGATGTCATATACAGTTCAGCAATTTCCGAAATGCTTTTGACCAAACAAACTGCAAGGAAAAAATAAAAATGTACGCACTCGTTTAGAATAGGAAAACTTGAGTACATAGCACGCATACAGTATCGGAAAAAACCTAAGTAACCCTTCAGTACATCTATTAATTTGGTTTTTTATGAAAATCAAGTTATACAATTTGTTTTTATTATTCTTATTCTATATTTATATTTTTATTATTGAAAATTCAAACAGAAAGAGTACATAACTAAAAACAACATTTTTAAAACTCAGAAAAATTTTAAATTACGAATTTAAGAGGACAAAACTAAAACACTGAACCATTTAAGTTTGAAAATTATGATTTGCTACTGAATAATATCGTTTTCATTTGAAAATTTACTAACGTAACTGGTTTTTGCAAATTTTTACAGCTTCAATTGATGACAACTGTTAGAAGTGAAGGATACGGAAACGAGTCACCTGGATGAAATATCTAAATGATTCAAATTGATTCACATACATATATAAATTGTATACATATGTACATGCTTCAAATGCACTGAGTGATATTTTGCACGTTTTTCCTCCCAACTGTTTTCCCATCACATGACATTATAATAAGACATCATTTCGGTGCTAAAATCAGAAAAATGTCAAAATATATGGCATCATTAAAACCTGTAGCTTTGAGACTCTGTATATATATATATTTACAACCGCATGTGTAGTACACATTTACATGCTATGTATAAATATCCATCCATCACCTCCATCCCTCCCTCCCTACAAAATGTAAACACATATGACACAACAACAGCACGTTGTGTTCTCTTTTTGTTTGTCATAAATATGATTAGTTATTTGGTATTGTTGTTGTTTTATATTTACTAAATACTATTTGTTTGCACATTTCTTTTATTTGCCACTTTTTCATTTGTTCGAGCGTGTGTTTAACACTTTGCTTTCATTGAAATTATCGTCGATGACATCACAATCTCAAGCGTGATATGTGCGGTCGGTCAAAATAAAATTCCAGACAAATAAAAAAAATAAAATATAAAATAACAAAAAAATATAATAAAACCTAAAGCCAAAGAAATAAGAGACACGGACATGCTTGTAGGTAAACAAATACAAACATCGATACATATTTAATTTGATTGGTATGTACATCATGTACGTACATCATTTGTATAAAATCTGCACAGGCCACACATATATATTTTGTTTTTTTTTTTTTTCAAATATCTGTACTTGGATAATATAACATCTTTAGACATGTTCCCCATATTCAGACACATTCTCCAACCGAATTATAGATATGAAAAAACTTTCTTTCAAACACATTTTAGAATAGGTTAGCTTTTAGGGATAATATTCCCCTATATAAAGCTATCTGACTATTTTCAAGTTGGCAGTAAATTGTTTTTTATTGTTTCCAGTGGGTAACAAACGTTCACTCGATTTTCGGAATTTCGAAATCTTAGCCTTAGCGGGCTAAGATCTCAATTTCTAGAAAAAGTGTACTTATTGCCTTTTCACGTTAAGCCAGCGATATGTGATGGACAACCGATAAAGCAAACATGTGCAAGTCAACCTTGGTAGGAGTCTGGGCGCATTGTTGTAATATATCATACTATATCGATGATTTTTATTTCTGTTAAATTCCAGACTGCAAGATGTGTCCTGAGACTCCGGGAAAAAGACACGTGGTTGTCGTTGCGTTTTGGCCACGCTAGATAGGAGCTCACATATCAGTGACTATGATCCCTTCCATAATGACTTTGATAGCATTAGGGCTGGAAACTATTGAATATATAGGGCAGCTTCGGCAGCTCTCACTGTACATCACTAGCTTCGATCCATAGGTATCGAATATCAAAATAAATAACTTTCGCAAAGTTTGAAATCTTGAATCATATTTAGATGCACGGTTTTTTTGTATTTTTACAAATGTTTTGGTAATATTTCCATTCCATTTCGTAAGTATTTCGTGTATACAACTTTTTTAAATTTTAAGGCTGTATTATTTAAAAAAAATTAAAAAAGTAATTCATCACAATGTATATTCTTATAAAAAAATTAAAATTATAATGTTGTAAGAAGATTGACAGAAAAAATAAAAAAAACTATTAAAAGTGCCTTCGGGGTAGATTCGGCTTTGGAAATTGGGGCACATTCGGCCATATATAGATAGTGCTATATTATTTCCTTAAAATGTTTTTTGGTTTGTCTTTAAAAATAATCCTTTAATATGGTTCGAAATTACATATATAAGACCGCGTGCTTGTATTGACGAAAATGCGATAGAAAAAATGTCAAACTTTGAGTCGCACATTAAAACAAAATGAAACATTTAGAGGATATGAATTTTGTTAAAATCTTGACACGTCTAAATTAACCAACAACTATACAATCTACCAACTTCTACTATCCACCAATTCCGCTTTTTCGATTCATTTTTTCCTATGGAACCTAGGATGAGCAAAATGCATAAATGTCTCCGAGTGATAAGGCTGCTAATGCTGGTTTTGTACATCCTTTAACTTAATCTAACCTATCCGTTAAACATTTCATCTTTCGCCTTATTTTTTTAACCATAAACTAATTACCACATGGCGAAATGTCTTATCGGTCTTAATATTTATATAGGGTCCTCAATAATGATTAAGTTTTAATTAAAACATGACATTTTTTGACATTTTAATTCTAATTGGATAGAGGAGGATATTAGCGCAGTCGGTGAAACCATTAAAACCCACCCGCCGCCCCAAAATACACCCAGAGTTTTAGATTGAAGGACACCAAAGGACCAAATAAGCTCACAATGAAATTTGTCGAGTTGTTTGAGTCGAGTTTGTGATCCCTACATGGATAGTCTATAAATTCTGGCGCTCTTAAGAAAAATAATTTAAGTTTTGAAATTTGAGTTTTATTCGGTTGTTCCTGGCTATATTTAAGTAGCAATATATTCTTGGTGATCCTTGAAGTGTTTTCTGGCTGGGTTTTCCGTGTTGCTGCAGTTTTTTTGGCGTTTATTTTGCTGAGGATGCCGTCGCAGTGTATTTGCAATGTCTGCAATGAACATATTGCAAAATCTAAATACAAAATTGGATGCACCGGCTGTGCAAATTACTTCCACTTGGATTGTGTGGGTGTATCTGAGAGTGAGGCTCGAGTTAATAAGGCTCTTAGATATACGTGCATTACATGTATCCGTGCTTCTGGTGGTGATGGTGTGGCTGGTGTTGTTGATCATGGCGCTAGTGTTAGTTCGGTTGCTGGTGTGATGCCTGTTTCTAGTGCTTCTGTTGATAATGGTGCTGCACTTGTTAATGCGGATGCCTTACGTAGTTTGCAGAATGATATGTTATCTACCATGAAACTAAAGATGGATGCTTACATGGCACAGTGTATGCAGGAGTTTAAATCCCAAACAGATGCTCTTTTTGAATTGTACAGTGCTGAATTCTCTGAGGTGAAGAGCAATATCACTGAGCTGAAGCAGTCCGTTTGTGATCTTAAGTTAACTGTCAGTGAAATGAAAAACACTTCTATTAGTGTGGAAAAGAAGTTAATAGACAGAGTCCATGAATTGGAATTATATAATGCTATGCTCCAGCGCAGACTGAATCGATCGAATGTCATTATTAGAGGATTGCCGGACAATATAAAAGACCTTAGAGCGCTAACTGTAAATATTGCTAAGGTTTGTGGGATGCAACTGGTGCCTAGAGATTTGCAGCACTGTTGTTACATATCTGACCGTAGAGCGGTGTTGGTGAAATTTAACTCTGTGCAGGATAGAGATTCACTGATGCGTAATTACTCTAAAAAGGGTCGTATTCTTCTGAAGGAAGTAATTGAGAATTGCATTGTGGAGTCTCGAGTGTTTATAAATGATCACTTAATTAAGTCGACCTCCAAACTTATCTATGCCTGTAGAGATTTGCTTAAAAGGAAGCATATTAGGAAATTTAAGCTGCTTAATGGTGATCAGCCCTTGGTTGAAGTTCTTCTTCCTGATGGAACGAAAACTAGGTTCGAGCAACAGGAACTTATTAATTTTGCCAATCGATCCCGAGATTCGCAGATGCGGAATGTATTGGATAATGATTGTGGGGCGGTGCAGTTTCCTGTTACATAGCCATGTGATGTATATTTATAATTGTTGATCTCATTTTTCTTAATTTTAATATTATTTTTCTTAAAACAATTATTTTATTTTTTTGAATTGGTATATTCTTTATTGTTTAATTTGTTATTCTTTTATTATTATTTTGATATGCATTCAATGTTTAATCGAACTTTAATAATTATGCTCCCCAGTCTCTTATTTAATTTTTATGTGCCCTGATGTGAATCTAGGGCCTGTAATTAGCGATGCTCAATTCTTTACGCAGAACATTCATTGTGGTGATGGTAAGCTTACGTATGCCTATTTGAACTGTCAAAGCATTCGTCCGTCTAGATTCAATAACAAATTGGATGAGATAAAGTGTCTACTTGTTGGCAGTGGAATTGATTTTTTTGGTGTGACTGAGTCTTGGCTTAACTCAGCTGTCTCATCGAGGTCATTGAGAGTTCCTGGCTATAAGGCTCTTCGTAGTGACCGCATTGGACGTGTAGGTGGCGGTGTTATGTTGTATGTATGTATGTGACAGATTGTCATATAAGGTGGTTTTTAAATCGGATCATTATGGTGTATGCGAGTCTTTGTGCGTCGAGCTGTGTTTCGGTGCATATACGTTGCTTGTTGCCGTTGTATACCTGCCGCATGGAGATGTAGATTCCTTTCGTAGCATTCATGAGGGTATTTTTGATTCATATGCAAATGTGTTTGTCTGTGGTGATTTTAATTGTAACTTATTTAATTCTTCGAAATCTACGTTGATGCGGGGCATATGTAGGTCTCTTGGGCTTTCTATTGTCCACAATTCCAAGCCTACGCACTTTGATCTTGCTCATAGTTCTACCTCGCTGATTGACTATTGTTTGGTCAGTGATCCCATGCGGCTGGGCTTTTCCTCGCAGGGGCAGTGCCCTAGCATA